TACCTGATTGTTCCTCTGAACTTATTTATCAGGCGTCGCCAATTTATACAGATTTACAACCAATTCAAAACAATGCATCTGCATTAGTTGCTCCTGCTATTGTGTCTGAAGTTTTTCCTGAAAATTCACTATTGACTGATGAATGTTTACTAATAGTTTCCCAAGAAATGCAGATCCACTCAAATAATAATCAATGTTTGGATATTGACACCCCAGTTGACCAGCAAAATTACTTCAATACAAATCAAAGATTGGTACAAGATGTTCAAAATTCACCAGTTCTTGAAGAAACCGTGGGTATAGACTTGTATAGTGGTAATGCCGGAGACGTTTCAGCTGATGATACCACATCTGGACCTAGCAAGGTAGTTAACTTTCGTAGCCGTAAAATGGTTTTGCAATCGGCCTATACAGACTTCTTAGATGAAGAAGAAAGAATTTTAGAGTACGACTGCGATTCAAGTTCTTGGGAAGGTTCGTCTGAGGAAGAAGATAGTACAGAGGAAACAGCAGCCAAAAAGAAATTGAAAAGGAAAAAGAAGAAAACAAAAGCGGTTGCTGCTGAAAATGGAACAGTGGGAGAATCAGCATATAAGAAAAATCGGCCTAATAAAGCGAGCGAAAGGCAACAACTATATCGAAGTGGCAAACAATATAAGAAGAAAAATGGCATAGAAGTTCCAGCAAAAGAAATAGGACCAAATCCATGTCAACCAAAGAAATGCACTAATCGCTGTGACGATATATCTGAGGAAAGAAGATTGAATATATTTAATTACTTTTGGTCACTATCTCCACAACGACGTCGCGATTGGCTTGTTTCGATGTCAAAGAAAGAATCTGTTAAGAGAAAGAGAGTAAAACATGAAAGCAGAAAGTCCAATACATTTCTATATTTTATTAATGAAGGTGAAGGACAACGTCAAGTTTGTCTGAAGTTTTTATTATCTACTTTGAATGTATCACAAAGATATGTTTATTACACACTCTCTAATGCTTGTTATGGTTTGGGAAAAGAGGATATGCGAGGAAAAACTATCCCTCCGAATAAAACAAAAGAAGAAGTGTTGAACTCTGTAAGAAACTTCATTACAAGTTTGCCAGCAGTGCCGTCACACTATGCAAGAAAAGACTCCGACCAAACTTTATTTGCCCAATGAGTTTAAGAATATTACAAATCTTTATAATCTATATAAGAAAAGAGAAATAGAAACAGGTATAGATGTTGTGTCAGAGAGGTTATTTAGAAAAATATTTACGAACGAATTCAATATCGGAATTCATATTCCCAAGAAAGACAAATGTGTCAAGTGTGTTGGTTTCGAAAACAACCCTAGACCGGAAACTGAAGTAGAAAAGCAAGAACATGATAAAGAAAAAGTTGAAAGTAAGAAGAGATTTGAATATCACCAAAAAATTCATGAGAAAAATAGAAGTATCCTGTGTGTCTCCTTCGACTTACAGAAAGTTTTAAATACACCGTACGGAGAAAGTATGTTACTTTATTACTCCAGAAAATTGGCATTGTATAACTTTACTTTCTATGAAAGTACAACAAGGAAAGGCCACTGCTATTATTGGAATGAAAGCCAAGGAAAGAGAGGAGCTAACGAAATAGCCACATGTCTAGTATCGTTCATGAAAAAAATTGATGACCGTGGGAAAATCACGAAACTAACTGCTTTATTGTGACTCATGCCCAGGTCAAAATAAGAACCGTACTGTTTTGGCCTCTCTCCACTACAACTTGATGTCCTGCAAAAATATAAATGTGATCCAGATTAATTATCTTCTGCCAGGTCACTCCTACATGCCAGTTGACAGCATGCATTCTGTCATAGAAAAAAGCGTAGCTAAGCATATTATTTGGGCACCTTCACAATGGCCAACTGTTTTTGAATTAGCTCGTAACATTCCTGAACCTTATGCAGTTCACCCCATGTTTCATAAAGATTTCATTTCATGGGATGACATATCAGACAAATATTTTAAAGGAAATCTTGCAGGAAAAATAAGTAAAATAAGAGTCGCTACATTCAAGAAGTCTGAACCAACTAAGATGTATGCAAAGTTTTCAATGGCTTCAGATGCTCAAGAGAGAGATCATACAAATCAGCGGTAAAGTAAAGAATCCACCAAATTGCAACTTATATCCAACATCTTTGTCAATTTCCAAACAAAAATATAACGATCTGAATAAATTGTGCCACTCGAATGTAATACCCTTGCAATATCATAATGAATATTTAAATCTACCTAGAGGTAATAGTGTAAATGATGTCCTTCCAGAAACTGACGAAGAAGATGGACTTCAACTTTAATATTGCTGATGTGTTTTTTATTGTTTTTGTCAAAAAACCTCAAAAAACCTTTTTTTTTCGTAGTAATAAAGTATTTTCCATTAACTTGAAACTATTTCTTTTCGTCTTTTGATGTAAAATGTCTAGAATATCTAATAATGATGCAATAAATATAATACAATAATATTAGAATTTAAACCGAGAATGACTTATATTCTTGTAATTTTCACAAAAGACACTTCTAATAGCATGCATCTCATAACATAAATACATTATAAAACATTTCACCTTCTCACAAAGTTACTCATATTTGGTAAATTAGCCGTTTTCAGTTACCTGGTTATGTAATGCATCATGTTTATAATACATTTCTCCTGTTTGCATTCAAGAATCACTTTGTATAATGCGCCATTAATTTTAAAACTAGATAATATTTCTTTTAGAAATTTATAGCATAAAAGGATTCTACTATATAACATTTATTTTCCTAAGATTTGTCAAGATAGTATGCTTACAACAAAAATTATGATTTTTTTTTCAAAATTTCAAACTTTAAACGGTTCTCCTGTAAAATTCACAATTGGCGTATTAGCTGTTTTACCTTTCAAGCGTTGATATATATATATATATATATATATATATATATATAATATATATATATATATATAATATATATATTTATATATTTATATATTTTATATATATATCTATATATATAGTATACTGTTATATAAATCAAATTTTGCATAGATCAAATTATTCAAATTGAAACTTAAATGTTAGAATTCCAGCCCACTATAATAATTAAATGAAATATTAATCATGCGTAAAGGATACGTTGATTAATTGCAAATCTGAAAATATGCATGAGAAATTACGTGCATATTCAATGTATTTCATATTTTCTACGAAACTAATTATAAAATATAAATTAAAATTCCTTAAAATATTTAATAACATTATAAAATTTTTAAATTTTACTAAATAAAAAATTTGCCTAATTATTCATCAATAAACCAATATAGCATTTTGGTATTTAAAAAATCGAAAAAGATTATTTAATGTTGTGTCAAAACGAGATTTATTTTATTAGATAAATTAGAAAAAAGATAAAGTGTTTAAACAAAAAGGTCAAATTTTATTTATACAATACTGTGGTGAGCAACTTGGACAGCTTATAGAAAAGTTACGTACGAATTAAGTAGAGAGTTTATGGAACACTTAGGACACCTTGGAACCCATCGTCAGCCTAGGACACCCCATACGCCAATGACTTTTAAAACTTATTTACAGAACCACACAACATATACATTCACTATGATCAATACTCTTTTTATGATAAATAGATATATTTAGAGACGTGGCCTTTTGGAATATTCCTACTATTATGGTCCTCTAGTCCTAGATAATATTCTCTAGCCTGACCTTTTTTAATAGCTTCGAGATTGTACTTTCCATGTAGCTATTTGACAGTGGATTTTCTTCTCCTAATGCAAAGAACTGCACATTTGCCAGACTGTCAAACTGACATAGAATGTGCTCTGCTGTTTTTTCTTCGAGGTGACGGAATCTGCACAGGTCATCATCTAATAATCCCATCAGCTTCAAAGTGTCTATTCAGCTTACAGTGCCCTGTTAGAAGACCTACTATGGCTTTGGATATTTTCCTGCTTTGCTTATTAGGCCTGCTGTAAATTTTGGCCAATGTTCTGTAATGAACTGTTTCGCCTGTCTTTGTTCTAGTGAATTCTTCCGCATTTGCCGCCATTTTCCGCCATTTTCGCCAATTGACCTCTACAAAAAAGATAGTCAGGCAGTAATAGGCAGAAGATAGTTCTGTTCTGCCTTTCTATTTCTTCCACGCAGTGATGGATTGCCGTTATTTCCACCTGGAAAACAGTCACATCCTTAGATAAACTTACAGTAAAATGTATCCCTTGATTCGTCCCTACTTCGCCGGCTCCCACACCTTCCGATGTTTTTGAGCGATCCGTGTACCAGGTAGCAGCAGCTTGTATGGGTACAACTTTATTCCAGTCGTCTCTGCCTGGTATCTTAATTGTGAACTTATTGTTAAAGCTGTATCTCGTAGCTGTTGCATCGATAGGTTGCCCCATCACAATATCGGCCTTTAGCTTCTCAATTAGCTTTTTGTTGTCGGCACCATGCATCTGGTTTATATGTCGCTGACTATGGATTAATCTGTGCATCATTGATCTGGCTTTGCCCTGTATAAAGATATGAAGTGGTGGTAGATTCAGCAGGACTTCTAACGATGCAGTAGAAGTTGTTTTTTATGATTTACTAAATAGAGTAATAAAAATAAAGTGGTAGAATATTTAATTTGCTACAAATAATGTTAAATACAATTATCTGTAGGGTTGTTAATTTACGCAGATACAGCGCAAAAACCCTTTGCCCCATTTTTCCCCAATAACGACAGGTGGACAAGGGTGGCGAGGCCACAAACTTGGACTTGAGCTTATACTGACCACTTCCATACATCAAAAAAATAAAATTGCGTCCTCTCAAAAATATAATCTCAATGTAACTTTTCAGTGGACTATTTGATATTCTTAATAATTTGATTTTGTACAAGAATACGTTTCTTCACCTTTGACTTCATATTTTAATAGTTTTTATTGGTTGAAAATTGAAAATATAATCTATAAAACATATTCAAAATATAAGGATAGTTACCTTCTATATTAGAGGATTGACTATGTCCATATAATTCTAAATTTAAACTATAATATTGTTCAGATTTTGTACAGTCAACTTCGTCTATTCTTTCACAGACTCGAGTTTCCTAAAAAAATTAGTGAAAATATTTATTATATAAATATATAAATAATGTAGGTACAAATAATAAAATATATTTGTTATTAAGAAGGCGAAAATGATACTGTGGTTCCAAAAACATACTATTTTAAGTGGGAATAACAGATAAACCAAGAAATCCAATAATTACACAATATTTTATACAAATATATAAAGGCTATAGCGGGATAAGATGGTCAAAATTGCACCATGCTCGATTTAGTTTTGGGCCTGGCCATTCGAAAGGACATAATTAAAAACTCACTAAGTTAAATTTTCAAGTCCTTAGGTGCCTCTGGGGGTTCGCTATGGAAAAAAAGGTATTTAAAAAAAATTTTTTTACACGCTGTATTGCTGCAAAAAATCTGACAAAATTCATGAAAGCGTAGTTTAATAATACAATACTACCTGATTTTTTTCAGATTTTTAGCTTGAAAATTGAGCCAAGGAAAAATATTTGAAATTTTCAGTAATATTTTAGGTTATGTCGGAAATTTTTGGCCAACTTTAAAACAATGTTTTTTATGGGTTTTTTCCTGTTCTTTCGAATGGCATAGGTATTATTATCATTTTCAACGTGGAAAATGACTAAAAATCGAAAAAACTGCTTTTTTTGGCATTTTTCTGAAGCACCCCTTAACAATAAATTGTATGGGCCTAGGAAAAAAAACAAAAACAAATAAGTATTACATAGAAAACAAAAAAATTATTTATACTGCCATAAGATACAATAATATCAGTTTTTAAAAAATAACAAAAATATTAATAAAATAAACATAAATTAGGTTTTTTAGTGAGATGGATGACTCATAACCTTAACAACATACATCTAAATTAATGATAATTCATATTTTTATATGTATTCTTACCTTTACAATCGAAACAAGCTATTAAAACTATTGTTTTTTTCCTACAGCATGCCCCATACCCCGTTTTTTGGCGTTGTTTTTAAGCTTTCGCTATTATAATCTCTAAATTCAGTGTCTAAATGAATGGTAATTTACATTTTCACATGTATCTTTCCCTTTACAATCAAAATCAGCTATTCAAAGCATTAGTTTTATCTCACAACATTCTGAAAAACCGAAAAACCCCAATGTCTCCATGTTTTTACTACATAACCTCAAAAGACTCTGAAAAATGAATCGTGAATTAGAACGCACTTGTACACTCAAAAGTTGTGGAATTATAAGCTAGCGAATATATCTACATATATACGTGATATTATATCACAATGTACATGCATTTATACACAAACGCATATCTATATAGTTCCATGACTTTTGAGATCCTTGTTATATACATTCATAAGCTCGTACCATGCTCGTCCATGCCTTACTCTTAACTATATAGCAACAGTTTTAATAGCTTATTTCGATTCTAAAGGTAAGAATACATATAAAAATATGAATTATCAATAATTTAGGTGTATGTTGTTAAGGCTATGAGTCATCCATCTCACTAAAAAACCTAATTTATGTTTATTTTATTAATAATTTTTTATTTTATAAAAACTGACATTATTGTATCTTATGGCAGTATAAATAAATTTTTTGTTTTCTATTTAATACTTATTTGTTTTTGTTTTGTTCCTTGGCCCATACAATTTATTGTTAAGGGTGGGGTGCTTCAGAAAAATGCCAAAAAAGCAGTTTTTTTCGATTTTTAGACATTTTCCACGTTGAAAATGATAATAATACCTATGCCATTCGAAATAACGGGAAAAACCCATAAAAAAACATTGTTTTAAAGTTGGCCAAAAATTTCCGACATAACCTAAAATATTACTGAAAATTTCAAATATTTTTCCTTGTCTCAATTTTCAAGCTAAAAATCTGAAAAAAATCAGGTAGTATTGTATTATTAAACTACGCTTTCATGAATTTTTTTCAGATTTTTTGTAGCAATACAGCGCCTAAAAAAATTTTTTTAAATACGTTTTTTCCATAGCGAACCCCCAGAGGCACCTAGGGACTTGAAAATTTAACTGAGTGAGTTTTTAATTATGTCCTTTCGAATGGCCAGGCCCAAAACTGAATCGAGCATGGTGCAATTTTGACCATCTTATCCCGCTATAGCCTTTTAATAACAAGCTACTATTTATCAGGAATAGATCTACGTCGGTACAGCTATGTGCAACCAATGCTACGTTATAACACATTACTCGCGCGTCTGATAAACATTGCTATACCTTTTTGATCATTCAATTTGAAAATGTTAAACTTCCAGAAAACTTTTTAAATGTACTTCGGAGATCTTCTATACAAGACATTTTAAGGCCAAGAAGAAGAAAAAATCGGATTTTAATCTGAAAGAACATTAAAATCGTTGTAAAACAATTTAATAATGTAATACTTAAAAGCGGATTATGTGAACAAACACCGTTTGCTCAACTTCGAAATGCTAGCCGTCTCTGCACAGCTGTAGTCTAGAGTGCAGCTGCGAAAAACTCGCTGGCACATCTAAATGGTTATGTCATGTATAGCATTGGTAATGCTTTCAGTTACTGCATCGTTTTCTGGTATTGGATCGGTGTAGACGATACTCTTTAGCGAGTGCTGTTCATAATAACCGTATGTCCTGCACCATCTTCAAAAAAGTACTGCCCAATTATGCTTCTGGCGGAAATGGCACACCATATGGCCACTTTTTAAAAGTGTAATTGTCGTTGATGTTTTTGCCGTGGATTGTCTGTTTCCCAATATCGGCAATTGTGTCTGTTCGCATATCCATTAAGATGGAAATGGGCTTAATCACTAAAAATAATGTTTTCAATACCACGTTTATTTAAAAAATTGTTCATCATTGTCTTAGTAAAAGTTTTTTAAAGTCCTTCCGCAATATTCGTTGAACACTATCGCGCGTCAATTGCAATGATTTGACATTTTTACAAATCTACCACTTGGGATGACGATTTACAGCGCGCCGTACCCTGTCAATTCTTCTTCTTAAGGTGCCGTGCATTTCTGCGTAGGCGTCCACCGTACATCGTCTTGTCAGGTGAGATGTTAATAGCCAGGATTAAATAATTCTGTTTTTAGCAGCATTGCAAAGCATTTCATAGCTGTGGATTCCTGTCCATTGTCGAATATTGCGCAGTCATGACATTTTTTACGTCCCAAACCTCTCCTACCCTCTATCTTCCCTTCGAGTATCAGTTGCTGAAAAGTGTATCTTTCTCCTCGTAATATGTGCCCCAAGTATGCAGTCTTTCTTACTTTCTGTCCGTCCATGATATTCTAAGCATTCGACGCAGGCACCACATTTCAAACACTTCAAGTTTGTTAATGGAACTGGCCTTTAACGTCTATGCTTCTATTTCGTACAAGAGAAGAGGCCACACGTAACACTTAAGCATCTTGTATCGGAGGTTGAAGTCCAATTTGCGATCAGTCAGAAACTTACGAAGCCTCAAAAAAGCATTTCTGGCTTGTTCAACTCTGCTCTTACTGGGGTGCCAACCTTCGTTTAGCAAACAACCCAAGTATTTAAATTGCCTGACCCGTTCGATTTCTTCTCCAGAGACATATATCTTTGCGTTGAGGTAATCATTTCTACTTATAATCATTGTTTTTGTCTTCTTGATATTTATTTTCAAACCCCGAGCTTCACTTGCAATAGTTAGATTATTTAGGTTAGGCATTGAAGATCTTCGATGTTATCTGCCACTATGGCTGATACCCTTATTACAGTCTACCACTGCTTCTGCGAAGGCTTTTTCTCCGTATAAATTGAACAGCATTGGAGACAGTACACAACCTTGCCTTACTCCTTTTTTAATGGAGAAATCTTCTGTTTCGTTGAAATTTTGAAGACTTACTATTGCTGTCTGATTCCAATACAGATTGGCGATAATTCTTATATCCTTGGCGTCCAATCCCAACTCTTGTACGTATTTTATCATCAATTCGTGTTTTATATTATCGAATGCTTTCTCATAATCGATGAAACAGACAAAAACATCCTTTCTTTGATCTAAACAATTCTGTATTAATGTTGGCACACTAAAGATTGCTTCTCTCGTGCCATTTTATAAAAACCAAACTGACTCCATCCACTGACCTCTTCACATTTCTTAAACAATCTAGTGTGCAGTATTCTCAGGAAAAGTTTTAAAAAGTGACTCATTAGGCTTATTAGTCGGTGGTAATTGCAGAAGTTCGCACGTGGTGTTTTTGGTAGGGCGATAAATGGAAAATCTTTTGGAATCTGGCCCGTATCGTAAATGTCGTTAAAGAGCTTGACAATAATGTCTAGGTTTTCTTCATTAAGTAACTTGATTGTTTCTGCGTACATATCATCTAGTCCTGGGGTTTTGTTACTTTTTAATAGTTTGATAGCGTGTACAATTTCAGCTTTCAAAATACTTAGGCCATACAAATGGTCTCCCAGTTGTAGTGGTTTTTATGTTCTGTCATCACTGTCAATTGGACCTTAATCTGTAAATAATAGTGTACGTTATTTATACCCAGTTCAACTTTAGTAGCCAACAAATAAGTGAAATTTAAACAGGATAGTGAATTTAAAAGAGTCTAGCAGTATTTACCTGATCAAAAACTGTTCCATTTAGGCACAAAAATCTAATGTCCGTAGGCTCGTCAAGTAGGCCAATAGTACAGACGTGGAACATTTGACAGTTCGTTTCCAGATCTGCATAATAACCGCCGATAACTTTGCCTACGCACGTGAAATTCGTGTCTGGAAGATTATCGAAATCCAAAAACTGAAAATAAAATAGTACAGTTAGTTAAATATTCTAAAGTATCTAAAGTCACAAATAAATCAATAAAAAGAACAAAATTCAGACAGGAAATTATTAAAGATATGCTTATTAAACGCGATTGTGTAATGCCTGCTAATAATTTACATAATTTTTAGTAAAGTGTCTAAAAAGAAACCGCTGCAGCCAATATGCTATAGGAATATCGTTACCAAGCATGGAAGACAAATAGCACAAAAGTAGACTCCTCGTATTAGGACAAAGTGTTGTGAGGGGTAGAGTTTCATATATGACGCTCAATATTTGAACTTATCTTCTTGACTGAGTGCTATATGTGGTACTCAAAAGACTCTTTGGCAATACAAGGAAAAAGAGATTGGCAGTCAACCTGTTAAATATGTAATAACATCTATTTTAATTTAAAAAATAAGAAATAGATTATGTGCAAGCTTTCATAAAGCATTCTGTACTTCAAAAAATATATCCTATACCATTTACCAAAAAAATGTTATTAAACTTATCTTCAAAGGAGCGTAATTACCTCAAAATGTAAATTTACGACAAACCCATTATTTCATAAAATTTAAATAGTTTTAAAACAGCTAATTTTTTACGTAAGGTTGATGGCTATCGTCTTACATTACTTAATAATTAAAGATACATAATTGTTCATCGCACATAACAAAAGACAAAGTCAATGTTACTTTGACCTAATTGCTCGTCACGAGAAAATATAAACATGAGGTGGGTAGCAGTAGAATCTGATCTTAGCTTTTCTTACGGTATAAGATATTGAAATAAAAGTGTTCACGGAGTGTCATTATATTAATACCGTTGTGGACCGAAATATATGTTGTTTAAAAAACAAAAAATAGTACTTTTTTAATCTAATTAAATTTTTTTTTTAAATCGATCCTTTAATTTAACTGTTTAACAGAAGCTGAATCCTAGTAGCTCCCAGCGAGTGAACGGGCGAAACTAGTACAGCTAGAATGCTGGTGCCTATCTGTCTTAAGAGGCGACTAATGGGATGCGTATTGAATTATTAAAAATCATTGATAAAGAAAATATTGATGTAATGGTTGAACTCTTTAATCGAATATATCAGACTGCCAGATAATGGCTGCAATCTACCTTTATGGCAATACCCAAAAAGTCAAGTGCAATATCTTGCTCAGATCACAGAACAATAGCTTTAATGAGTCACACACTTAAAACATTTTTGAAAAATACACAGCAGAATCGTTAAAACTCTTGAATATGAAATTAGTGAAACAAAATTTGACTTTAGAAATGGTATGGGTACAAGAGATGTTTTGTTCAACATGAATGTGCTGGCCCAGAGATGCATGGATATGTATTTATGTTTTGTAGATTTTGATCAGGCATTTGACAAAGTTCAACATAAAAAGCTTGTAGATATATTAAAAAGAAAAAATATTGACAGTCGTGATACGAAAAGTATATCTAATCTATATTGGAATTAAATTGCCAAGGTAAGAGTTGACAACCAGAATACCCGAGATATCAAAATACAGAGAGGAGTCCGCCAGGGTGGCATGCTGTTACCACTACTGTTCAATGTCAACAGTGAAGCAGTATTTAAAGAAGCGCTCTCAGATTTTATAGAAGGTAAATCTTTAACGCAGAAGTTGCGTTTTGTAGACGATACAATATTAATGACGGATAACAACAATGATTTACAGAACGTAATGCAACGACTTAATGAATGCTGTCATGAATACGGACTAAGGATGAATAAGGATGAAAAAACTAAATGCATGATCATGACTAAATCAGCAAATGCAAACCTCCAGTTGATTGCTGACGATACTGTAAGTGAGAGTGTGTATACCTACAAATACTTAGAAACATGAATAAAAACAAATATAGGCCAAACCAAAAAAATTAAGGCATGTATTGAAATAGCACGTGCATCATTCCCTAAACTTGTTGTGGGGATTTAAGATTAGAACTATACATAAGAATGCTTCGGTGTTACGTATGCACTACTCCTATTTAAGACTTGGAAGCCTGGACATTAAAAAATCGAATAAGTTTGTCGCATTTAAGTTTTTGTGTTACAGAAGAATTCTGCAAATATCGTGGGAAATAGGGCAAGGATATAGACTTGTCAAGGCAACAATAAATAACCTTAAAAAGTCAGAATCAAAGATGTACATGGTAATGACCAAAAAACCTACGCTTGACAGTGGGTTTTTTAACTGGTCAACTAAACAAACACCTCCACATATTAGGGCTAGTAGACACACCTCTATGCAAGAAGTGTGAATGAGAAGACAAAACAGTAGAGCATGTCCTATTTACGCATAGTCCCACTAGTCTGGAGGGCTGGCTCGCCTTCGTGGATTTACGAGAAGGTAAGGAACTTCGGAATAGGGGTTAAGGACTTTCTAGGTCTCAGGTCCTGTAAAGAGTTTGAGTCTATGGGCTTACTTTAGAAGCCGGATAAATGTATAAGCCGAAATTTGGTACTCTTCTGGTCTCTGTCTGAATCGGTCGGAAGGAACATAAAAACCAATTTTAGAGTCTACAAATGTATTGAATATACTATGTGGTTTACAATTAAGTTAACAAGCTGTCAGATATAATTAATAATAACTCGTTCGGCGCGAAGGAGACGAGAAGAGATCTTAGCAAGAAAGTAAATGGGTGACAATCTGTAATACTATAATTTACTCGGGTTAGTATATAGAATTTTGTTACCTTTCGCGTATTTAGACTCTAGCTAATGATACGCCCTTCAGTTCCTCTGGAAATCGGATTTCTTTCAGTACCGACACTGATACGGAACTATACCCCGTCGAAATATAACAATCGCGCGTAATCCGCACCTGGTGCCGACTCTCGTATTAACAACCCTGTCCAGAAGACACCGACTGCTATTACTGATCGCGTACTGGACGCTATCGCGTCCGACCCGGAGCCGGCGATCACTGCCTGAGCGGGCAGTCACGGTGCCAGCTATCACTGACGCTGGTTGACCAATTTTTTTAGTTTTTATGTCCGCGAACATTCCTAGTTTATTTTGCTGATTCTGCAGTACTGTTCCACGGTTGGAATGTAACATGGTAGTTGTTATTAATTTTCACGAAGGTCTTCAGATTTCGTAATTCTTAAACATTCGGGCTTGTGTCAAACTAGGTCAATTGTTATTATTTGTATAATTAAAAATGTATACGTTACTGTATTTAATATGGAATATATAATAATTAATTGAATGATTATTATTCTCCCTATGCTACTAGCCCTTATTTTTTCTATTCTTTATTTTCTTGCTATGTTTACATTACAGTTTCAAGCTGTGTGTACGTTTGGTGAAACACAGTTTTGATTACTTTTTATATGCTCATCTAGGCTCCTACAGTTTACGGCTGAATTCTGGAGAAGCAGTTTGAGACTCCTTTAGCAGATGGTATATTACTGACTTGCAGGTGTTATTCACTGTATTATATTTGTACAACATTACTCTTTTTGTGTTTAAGTTTCTAGAATAAGTAAAATGGCAAATAAAAATTAAGTGACGTTGAACTATTTGAAATAGCGGATAATTTGAGTAAAATAAAATGTGACTTTATTAGTGAAGACGATGATGATTCGAAAGATGATCCGAATTATCAAGATTTTAGAAATTCAAATCTGATCTAGAATCAATCTCAACAACTTTTTTTCAGCCACTTTGATCTTGGTCTTACCCATCTCTTTCTTCCTTCTGGATTCCATTCTATCATTGCGTATTGTCACTGCTTCATCTCCTGCTCGCTAAATGTGTCCTAACCATCTAACTCTGCAAATGCTTTATTTTAGTCACGATGTCTTTCTTAAGTTCTTTCTTGATCTCTACATTTGTTCTGCTTCCATATTTATTATATATATATATATATATATATATAATATATATATATATATATAAATATATTATATACATATTATATATATACATATATATATATATATACATATATATAATATATATATATATATTATATATATATATATATATAATATATTACAACCAAAAAGCCAATATTAAAGTGGATGATCAATTGCCAGAGGCAGTCTCCATAGATAGAGGAGTGAGGCAAGGATTCATTCTGTTCCCCGTGTGTTATTTAATATATACTCTGAATATATCTTCGAGCAAGCGCTGGGAGAACTACAAAAAGGCGTATTAGACAACGGAATTGCGTCTAAACGACATTAGATATGCCGGACGACGCAGTAGTTTTTGCAGATAGTCTGGACGGTTTGCAAAGAATAATGTCGCATATATCACATATAAGTAGAGAACACGAACTTAATCTTAATACGAAGAAAAAGTACATGGTAGTCAGTAAGCGCAAAATATGAAATACTCAGCTTTTGGTTAACCAACATAAAATTGACAGAGCGGACAGCTACACATACCTTGGTACCAACATTAACAGCCAATTTTTGCTACCAAAATTTCTCTCATTAGATGCTATGTATTTTCTACCTTATTATACGGAGCAGAGGCCTGGACACTTTCCGAAGCATCCTTAAGAAAACTCGAGGCATTCGAGATGTGGTGTTACAGACGTATCTTAAGAATTTTCATGGGTGGATCGTGTGACTAATGTTGAGGTCCTACGTAGAAACAGGCAAGGAATGCGAGATTATTAACACCATCAAAGAGCGCAACTAGAATATCTTGGCCATGTTATGAGGAATGAACAGAGATACGGCTTGTTGCAACTCATTCTTAAGGGCAAGGTATTTGGAAAGAGAGGACCAGGGAGAAGAAAATCTTAGCTTCAAAACCTGAGAAAGTGGTTTAAATACATCGACAACCGGACTATTCAGAATAGCAGCAAGCAAAGGTAGGATAGCCATGTTGATCGCCAACATCCGGAACGTAGGCACTGTAAGAAGAAGAATATATATATATATATATATATATATATATATATATATATATATATTCCTTCTTTTAATTTGTTTCACTATATACTGGTACTGTT